AGTTTCTTTTTTTGCAGGGGGAATAAAAGAAAGGCAGCATTATATGACCAAAACACAACTCATTTTCTCCCATTTTTACTTTTAGCATAAAAACTTTTAAAATTCAGAATCAACACACAAATCATATAGAAAAATGTATTTAAAGAATATGTCATAAATTTCAGTCACATTGAGGTCAATTACTGATGGATTAATGGTTATTTCTGAAAGAGTCTATCAAGCTTTAGATATGAATCTTGAAATTTGGGCTGTTGCTTTGGATATCTTGAAGACAGTTGATATGGTTTGGCATGTTGCTTTTCTTCCTAAGTTGAAAGGTTATAGCATTTCTGGAGGAATTTTTCATCCGAGTCAATTTTTCTTATCAAATCATGAAAGGAAAGTTGTCTTGAATGACCACTCTTCTAGATCTTTTTGCATTAATGTGGGTATCCTTCAGAGATCTCTCCTTGGATCTACATTGTTCCTAATTTTCATCAATGACCTTTCAGATGTCATCAGTTCTCAACTCAGTATCTATGCTGATTATACAACTATTTATTTCTGTCATAATGGTAAATCTGATCTCAAACATGACCTACAGTCTATTGTTAACTGAGGCAAGAAATGGCTCATTAATTTTAATGCTTCCAAAAATATGTTGGTTTACTGTATTATGCTAAACAATTTTTCTTGCCATAATCTATCTCACACATTTATAAGTCTACCATTCATCCATGCATTGAATATTGCTATCATATCTGTTCTAGTGCTTCAGCTATATATCTAGTGATTCTTGATAAAATATAAAGAAGAATCTGCAATGTTATTGATTCTAACCTGGCATCTCAGCTTCAGTCACTTTTCCACAGCTGTAGCATAGCTTCCCTCTGCCATTTCTATAAATATTTTCATGGTAATTCTTCTGATGAGCTTTTCTCTTTGGTACCTAGACTTTATTAATTTAAGAACAGTACTAGATTGGCAGCTAGGTCTCATCATTTTACAGTTGGAATGACTAGATGTAAGTTCTATGCTAACAGTTTCTTTTCTCATACTTCTTGCTTGTGGAACTCTCTTCCAGCTTCATGCTGTCTAGTTAATTTTCAAAAATTTAAATGCAATAACAATCATTATCTTCTGTCATTTTAATTCCTGTTGTTTTATTGTTCTCTTGCCTTAATAATGTTTATCTTTTTCTCATATTCTTTCACACTTAGTATCCTCTTGTAATTTCATGGTTTTATATCCATGCTTGGGGTGAAATGATTAAAATATATAAAACTTAATTTTCAATGTTAAATTGAATTTGTTTTGTAACAAGCATGTTATATTTCCCCATTTCTATAATACACAGCAGCAGTGATCAATATGATACCTTTTCTCTCCCCCCCCCACTGTGAGATACAGTTTTCTCACAAAGAGGTTTTAGAGGAATTGAAAGTAGGTTGAATTGTCTCAGCAAACTGGAGACTTTTGCTAGGGATATTTTTGCACAGTTTCTCATAGGAGCTACTTTACAACCTGTTATTCTATATTATGGGAACATTGCTGAGAGATGTTTTCTATTCATTTACGTGTTATGTATTGTAGTAGTAGAATTATTGTATTATTTTCTATATCTTTTTCTTGTTTCAGTTTTAATTTTAACTCCAGCAATAAACCTGTAGATTACAATGAGTTTTACAATAAAGCATTTATCAGAAAAGGCTTCTGACAATGTTTTTAATATTAGATTTTAAGATATTGAAAATTATATCACATATGCTATGAAGTTCGTCTGTCTACACATACACACATATATATACATATATACTAGCTAGCAAGAATTCAGTCAGACATGTTATACTGAAATCAACCAACAAGGTTTGCATGTTTAATTTTTATTTGATTATACTAGTTTGTGTACACTACGTTACACATCTAGATCAAATTTATGAATAAATTATCCAAAGTTCATCATGTTTTTTTTTTATTTTTCTTTCATATCCTATCATTGTCAAAAATGTTAATGTTATTAGTTACAACAGAAAATAAAATTTTGATTCAGTTCATCCTCACATATTTTAGAAGCATAATTTTAATTTAAATGTACATTTATTGAATGCAAGTGACATTATATCTGGAATGGTTTTTACTTTTTAACTATAGATAAGGAATAAGCATTTTAATATTTTTTTGAAATCTTAGTCTGCTTGTAGTCACAAAACTTGATGGTTTCCAGATATGAAATATCTAAAATTATGAACACAAATTAAAATGCCTTCCCTTATAGTGAAGATAATCTATTTAATCTGGATTGTTGTTTGTATAAGAATAGCTTCAAATATTTTTTTCTTTACAATTAGTGATACTAATATTTGCCTAATATTAAGTGTCATATTGAGGTCTTATTTGATGAATTGATAAATATGTGGATGAAATGCACAAGTTTTAATAAATGACAAGTTAGCCTATAAGAAAATGTGATACTTGTGTGATCAATGTCAGTATATTGTATTTTTATTATTACAGTTGAACATGAGTATTCATTGTTTTTCCAAAAGGGTGACTTTTTACTTCTACTGTTATTAATAATGATATTGGATGTGGTAAATGAAATTTTTTTTTTTCATAGTTATGTCTCTAAAATATATCAATGAAAATTTTTTTTTTAAGGTGAACAAAATTTTCATTATAGTCCCAGTGTTTCTCTCAAGTTCATTTTTCTTTTTTTAATTAACACAAACACAAAAAATAGTTGTAAGGCTTATTATCCAAGGAAGCTGTCTGGAGATTACTGGAAGGCAAAAAAAATTATGAGTCCCAGTTTTTCTTGTCTTCTGTTCCCTTATTTTTTTGCACACTGTATTCAAACATCTTAAATGCCCAATGAGGATTGAGTTCACCTATGATTTGGTTTGCAGAACCAACATACCCAGTAATGCATTTCCAAGATCATTTAAATTTTAGATGATCTGGGAATATTTCAACAAAAAATTAAGTCATAGATATAATTTTTTTTACTGAAACTCATTCCTTAAACAAAAAAAAACTAAACATCTCTCTTACAGTTCTGTAAATCAGTTCAATTTCGAATTTAGATCAACTGCATTTCCTTGTAAAGATATCTGATTAAGTAAGTATTTGTTGAAGTAAATCTCAATTTCATCTTTTCGTAACTAATTGACGAGGTACACACATGGGTACCACCACACCAAGGTCATGCACTCAAAATGTTGATTATATGTCACTGTCAGTGTACACTGAGATTGCAAAACGCAGACAAGACCGATATATAGCGGAAAAAAAGTTAAATTTATTTAAAACTAAGAGTGTCTAAATGAGAGTTTGGAATTAAAATAAAAAAAGAAGGATTTGTTGTTTATTTTTTGTCGAAAATGTATTAAAATTTAATGAGACTGTAAGTGTATTTTAATTAAATTCCGTTTGGAAAATCCAGTTGAGTAAAAAAAAAAATGTTTTGTTTAAACATTTTACCGGGAATCCAAAAGGAATTTAAAAAAAATACACTTATAATAAATAAACAAAAAAAAAAAACATTACAACAACATTCGAATTATGCTGTAAAAATAAAAGAAAGTATTTTTATTAGCTACATTTTTAGACGTCAGAAAAATATTTGAAAAAGGATTATTTTAAGAAAATGAGTTGTTTAAAAATATCTCTACTAGGTTCTCCAAAGAAATCAGTAATTTTGGCACCATTGTTATTCCATAGTCTTCATTTTTATTTATTTTTTTATTATTCGTTCTTCCATCGTTCAGTGCTTGAGTGTGTCAGCTCGACTTCTTGTTCGTCGTTGATGTAGGACAGAAAACAGTGGTAATGCTTTCTCTAGTGTGGCCAATGTACCCTCTCTGATTCAGTGTTGGACAATTTAACCCCCACCACCTTTTTTGTTCGTTCAACCCACGTTATGGTTTCAATTCAAACTAAAAAGTGAGTGTCCCCTAAAATGCAAAGTTTATTATTATGAAATATTACCTGAGAAAAAAGTAAATTTTGATTCGTTCCTCAAGTTTTTGAACAAGTGATGAATTAAATAATTCCTTTTATTTTTAAAGAAATGCATTAATTTCATACTGTGATTTGTTTTATTTTTGAGGTGAATTAGCAAGAATCATCATAGTTGTTAAAACCTGGGCCGCTTACCACGCTAATGGCTAAATCTAGATTTTTTTTTAATATATACAAAAAATGAATGTCTTTAATTATTAACGGAAATGTTTTATTGTACAGGGAAAATAAAAACATTTTTTGTAACAAAGGCTATCGTTTTAAAACATAAAACCTAGAAAAACAAAAATAAATTCATCAGCCATAACGGTGCGGGTTAATAACGGACAAAAAATATTAATTTTAAATCTCCATAATTTCAATAAAAGTCCAGATTAATGTGGCAATTAAGCCCCAATTAATGAAAACACGACTGTTTTCTTTACTAAAAAGTAAATAAATGGAGGTAGAGGGAGTACTTAAAAAATAGCTTTTTAGTTTATTTGTTGAAAATAAAAATGTAGAAACAACAAAACTTAGGAAGAAACAAATTCTTACTGTGATAAAAAAAATAATTAAATTCACTTTTTTAGTTTGAAAACTAACGTGTGTGTACATACAATAATTAAAATCACTTGCACTTCCTTTTTTTCTCCATAAACAAAAACATTGTATCACTGATGAGCTAACTTAGCAAAAAAAAAAAACTGCATAAAAAACAGAAACCCATTTTATTTAAAGTTCTTCATTAAAATATATATATATATATATATATAACTTTTCAGAAAGCAAGTAACTCTTCTTAAAAAATGATAATTGTTAAACCGAAGTTTTGCAGTTCGGCTATGAAACAGTCACTTTTTACTAGTACTGTAGTCTATGAATCATTTTCGGCTATAAAATATTTCTATTATTCATATGTGACGAGAGATCTTTCGTCAAAACCACGTGTAAAAATAAGAAAAAATAAAATCAACAATAAGGAAGCAAAAAAAGAAACAGGTAAAAAAACTGATTTAAATATGCCACATTCTTCTTCACTGTCCGAGAAACATGCTTCTTTAAAAGAAAAGCAAGGTTCGCCTTCTTATGTGTTCAGCGACAATGTTGCCGGTAAGTAGCTTCACCTGTGTGGTTTTTTCTTTTTTCCTCCTCATTGTTGCCTTCCAGACGGGTTCCATTCAACGAACGGGAATCCCTTTCTTTCTGTTATTATTGATTTATTGGAAAAAGCGATCGAATTTGCCCACAGGTTTACTTGCTAGCTTTGAGAATGTGTTTTTTTTTTTTTTAACAATGATGCACAATCGCTTTTCTCATTCATTATCTTTAAAAATAAGAAAGGACATTATTGCCAAACAAGGAAACTGTTGAAACTGTTTTGGTTGTTAAGGAACAATAACATTTTTTTACACACTTTTTAATAGAAAGTTTTGGTAAAAACATCTCGACCACTTTAGTTCATTCTTCGTCTTTATAAAATTATTTTTGTAACTAAAAGCTGAATTACAAAACAAAAATTTCACTTTCATCTTCTTAAAAATTTAATCTTTTTTTTTTTTTTCAATGCAATAATTGTTTTGTTTATGAAATCTTGTAAAAAGGCAGAATAAAGCCCGTTCCTCTGCTTACAAAATAAAGAATTAATAAAATAGCAGAGTCAAAGAGTATATTAAAAAAGTGTACACAGTATGATATTTGTTTTTTCATGTCACTGTGGAGTAGAATGGCATATTCCACATTGTTAATAATAATAATAAAAACTAAAAACATGTTTTTTGTGTTTGGTAAACTAAGCCAACGAATTTATTTTGGTTGAATAAAGAAACCTCTTCATTTTTCACTTCATTAAAGTCATTATTTTTATTTTAAAATGGGTAAATAAAATTTCATACATTATTTTAAAATTATGGCAGCAAAAACATTTTTTGAAATTCTTTTCTGAATATTCACAAATGGTAAATTTTGGTTTTATTTCCCGAGCGCTAAAAATCCCTTAAAATTTTCAAAAATTGTCATAATTCCGTGCAAATGTACATGCTGAACTCGAATTAACAATTAAATTATGAAGAAACCATACCGTTTCGGACTTCTTGTTGGTCAATTGTCCCCCAATTGTGCCATCATGATTACTGCTTCACTGCGTAGTACCTACGCAGGCGTAATTAGAAAATTTGGCCTATTTACTTCTTTTACAGACTTTCCTTGCAGAAAATCACTACGCACTACCGTAAAGAAATGTAATTTTTTTTTTTTTTTTTTGATAAGTGTAGTTTTATTTATAACAAGAACAAATTAAATAATACAACAGAGCCTTTTTCCGTTTCAAATAGCAATGACAAATTAAAAGAACAAATTATGATAAAGCATCTTTTATATTTTAAAATTGAAAAAAATGATTAAAGCACAAACTTGGTAAATTATTTATTTTTTTTATTTTTTAATTTGTCCCCTTTTCTACACAGAAAGAAAACCCCACCCCTAACCTTAACATCTAACTCTAAAGATTAACTTTAGGGTTAGGTGTTAAGGTTAGGGCGAGGTCATCTTTCTGTGTAGAAAAGGGAACAAATTAAAAGCAAATTAAATAATACAATCAACCCTTCTACTTTACCAAATTTGTGCATTAATTTTTGTTTTATTTTCAATTTTGCAATATAAAAAATGCTTTATTTTTATTATTTAATTTGTTCTTTTAATTTATCATTGCTATTCAAAACAGAAAAAAAGGTTCTGTTGTATTATTTAATTTGTTTTTGTTATAAATAAAACTACACTTACCAAAAAAAAAAGAAAATTACATTTCTTTACAGTAGTGCATGGTGATTTTCTGCAAGGAAAGTCTGTAAAAGAAGTAAATAGGCCAAATCTTTTGATTACGCCTGCGTAGGTACTATGCAGTGAATCAGTAATCATGATGGCACTAATGGGGGACAAATGACCAACAAGAAGTCTAATTTTTTTTATTGTCGATAACTTCAAAACAGTAAGGTTTCTTCATAATTTAATTGTTAATTCGAGTTCAGTATGTACATTTGCACGGAATTATGATGATTTTGGAAAAATTTTAAAGGATATTAGCACTTGGGAAACAAAACCTAAATTTAACTCACAAATATACTAACTACTCCCATTGATGAGGAGTTCCTTTCGTATGTGCCTTTTTCTTAAACCTTTTTTAAATGATGAAACCAGTGGGTCCCTTTTCTTTGTTTTATTACTACTACTCTTCTTATCTACGGTTCCAATTGTGAAAAATATTTTTTTTTTGTCAATAGGTTTATAAAAATTTGCTCAGGCTCAAAATTTTTCCATCCTTGATTGCCAAGACTTCAGTTGTCAGTCTTGTAACCAATTAAATGCCTGTTGTTTGAGGTATGTAGTGTCTTCAGAGTTTAAATTCCATAATTCTTTGGTGAAAAAAAAAATGTTTTGTTTATTATTCAAGCTTCTTCGAAGGTTGATTTTATTTTTAATAAATTAAGTATCATATATTTTGAAAAGTAAAGTCTTTCTTTACATACAATATTACAATTTAAAGATTTCAAAGGCACATCACAAAAAAAATGACGCATTATTTTTAGGATCAACACTCAACAACAACAGGTTAAAAATGATTACATCTTGTTTGGGGGGGGGACAAAAAATTCAAAGATATGTCAGCTCAATTTTATCAAAATGTCAATATTTATTTTAGTAAAAAGAAATAAACAAACAGGCAAAAATATTGTGGAAAGAATATTAGCATTGAATTCATTCATTCAATTCTTTGCATTTATTTATTGATCCAACCATTCTTCATTGTTCTTTTCACCATAACAGCTCATTTATTATAAAATCTTCCAGGCAACAATTACCAAAATGTCACATTCTATGAAAGTATAAATGCAGTAGGAGTAGAATAAAAAATAAAATAAAAATAAACAACAATTTAAAATTTTCCATCTGTAGACTTAGAAAATTACCTGTTGCTTGAACACAATTATTACATTCAAGTTCTGTAAATATGTAGATAATGTGCTTTCTCTCACACAAATATATATATGAACTTGTTTGTCTTCATCCATGAACAAATTATCAACTATAGTAATGTATGTTGGTAAAAAGTAAAATTTACCTCCACCAATACTCCAATGATTTAAATGTAATCAAATCAAGGAAATACTAAGAATACAGGCCAAGAAAATATGCACATGTCCGGTATGACTGGGGGCCAATGATTTTAAGCTTATTTAGATAATTTAAATGTAGCCAAATTTATTTTCAATAATATTTACCATGCATTAGAATATTACCCATCACCAACCCAAGAAAAGATTCCAGAACTAAATAAAATAAAGGAAAAATAATAAAAAGTAGCTGGGATGGGGAGAGAAAAGAAAAAATAAATTAATTATTCTCACATTGCTGAAAAACTTTGTCATCTTACCAGAAGGAGATAGGGCAAGAAAATGTGCATACATTTACTAGTGATCTTAACAAAAAAAATCAACACTATTCTATTTTGATTCAAGCTGAACTAACAGATGTTTATCAGAAGTACAAGATCCTTTTCTCTAACTAGTTACCTTAAAATGCCACTCTCCCATAACACAGACAAGCCACTATTCACTTATTTTCTGGCAAAAACTGCTTCTTTCCACTTTGATATTAGCTTAGATGCTTAAAGTCGGTAACCAAATAGGGGAAGGGGTAAATGACCATGGATTTTTTCCTTTGTGTCACCCAAATCACTATTCACATCATTCCAAGTAAAAAATAGAAACACAGTCTCTCATTTTATCATATAACAGGCCCATGTTGCTACAAATAGTACTGACTTCCAAGGCAAAAGAATGTCCCTGAAATGTGTGAACCATTTTGCTTTCAACAAGCTTGTACAGTCAACAACAAAGAATGCATGTTCAATAGTTTCCTGAAATCACTGCAATTAGCACATTCTGGTGAAGCAATCAGTCCTAGTGTGAAAAGACCTTGTAGTCAATTTCATTGTGCTTGAACTAAAATTCCAGTTCAGAAATTGATGTAGCCTAATGAAGAAAACAAATCGCAAGTTCAAACTTGAATATCATGGACAGAAAGTAATGTTGAAATCTCGATTTGTATGTCACAAATTGTAACATACATAACCAGTCAGAAAAATGACACACTCGACGGCGAATGCAGTAGCCAAATACACAAAATTCTCCCCAATTTGAGAACACCAAATGCTTTTATCGACTGAGCATTTTTTTTTTTTTATTTGTCAACATCTAGGAGAGGACGCACAATATTAGCATATCCAAAATACTTTTATGGCGACTTCTGCAACTGACTTGTTTCTAATTTGAACATTCCATCTTCAGCATATCATGCAGAATATATGCCTTTTTTCTCAGTAGGTAACTTTTTTTTTTTTCTTTTTTTTTTTTTTTGTCACATTATCTGTCATAGAACTTGTTATTGAGACATTTCATTCTGGACATCCAAGGCCATAAGTATCAATACTTGCTCTTTGAACAAATCATCTCATACAGCTCCTTCTTACTTGTACTTAATACAATGCCTTTCTTGACCAGTGTTAGGTATTAGAAAAGGCAGTTTTCACCTACAAAAAATATGTCTCTTGGGGAAAGTTAGTTTGATAGTTCTATAGAGGGATGATGGAATATGCCAGAGTTCTTATTTTGCATAATCTCTTTCTTTTTCTTTTTAATCATCCCAAGCAAGGTAATAATGCTATTAGGATGCAAGAGGCTACCTGGAGTGAAAGAGAATGAAAAGACTTTAGAAGAAATTAGAAACCCAATTCTAAACAGGAAACAAGATATAAACCTCTATACTCCTGTTCAAAAATTCAGGGAGAAGTTTGAACTGGGTGGTAGGTGAGCCTATTAGTCAGTAGATATATTTTAAAAGCTTTGTTTCCTACAACATACTATAAATTTTCTGTCCAAACCAATCCTTACCACTGTCAAGATGCTTTGGGTACATGAGAAATTTATTGAGTCTGCCTCACTTCTATTACCACATTTCATATTTTAAAATACTCAATTCCCTTAATTTCTATGGATGCAGGTTTTTCCTCTCCAATATGTTCAGATTAATATGGCAAATGACTTTTTTTGTGTGTG